GCCACCCGGTGGCGCCGGGGACAAACCGCTCCGCGGCGCGGCCACCAGCGCGGGGACGCGAAACTCCTGTGACACCGGCCGGTCCCCTACCCTGCCAAGAAGTACCCAAGAGCTAAAGCCAAGGGCACTGAGGCTCCAGATCCAGCGGTGCTCTCTCCGGAGGGTGATGAGCCACCCGCAATTGCCGGGCAGTGCCCCCTAAGCGAGGACAAGCTTCCCAGGAGTGGGATTTTTTCTGACTTTTCAAAGAACATGTTGAAGCAGAGTAACTCGCCAGCAATTGGGTGGTGACTTGGACTGCGATGCTTTTGGCATTCTACATCAAACTGCAGCTGAAAACAAAATCCCTGCCTATCAGCCGAGGTCAGTCTGTAATGTCTGGGCTGCCAAATGTACTTGTTTGAGCTAAACAGAACCAGTGACTTCTCAGCTCAGTCTCTTCTAAGAGGCTGCACTTTCTGAAGTCAGCAGCATGTCTGTGCACACAGCGTGTGCTACTGGCAGTGATAACACCTGATGTTTGCAGTCACTGCCTGGGACTGGGCTGCAGGAAGGCTCTTGCTGATGCTTTCTCCTGCAGTGACCATGGGCACTGCTGGAACTTGGGTGCCACGCTGGGGTTGCCAGGAAGTAAGAGGTTACACCTTTACGGAGTAACTGAAAGGACAGGTGACCAACAAGAGTACTCCATTCTACATACATCATTTTCAGTATAAAGCTGAGGGATCATTTTTTCCTTTTTCTACTTCCTTCTTCAACGGCCGGCATCCAAGGAGGACTCTATCCCATCTCCTGCCTTTGATCCCCATTCTGAGTTTCTGAATCCAGCTCCTGTATCCAGTTCACCTCTGCCACTGAGCCTGGGACTCCCTGGTGCCTGCATGCTCTGCAGCATCAGTGGGCATTGCTATTGGAGCAAGGGGGAGTTGAGTTCAGCATCAGTTTTGTACATATTTGTATACAGTTCACTATTTCCTTATTAGTACTGTAACTGTTTTATTAAAGCTGTTATAGTTTTCTTTTCCAATCCATGAACCTGTCTGTCTTATTCTCTGTTGCTTCCCATTTTGGAGAAGGAGTGGATTAGAGAGAATCTGTCAGCCTTTAGTGGCCGGCCCAGCACTAACCCTCAGCAAATAAATTGGTGCCCAATGCGGAGCACGAACCCTACAGGGCACCAAGTCATACTTGAATTATTAGCACTGTCACTGCCCTGGTAGCATATCTTCATTTTTCTTTTGTGAGTTTGAAGCCAGTGGCCCACTGTCTGGAGACAAGTGTAGAAAAAGGTGCATGTTCCTCAGGAGAAGTGGGAATGAATTGAAGACACCAGAATTTCACTGCTTTGTTTTCCTCTTTGCAAAGTGAGGCAGTTAAGGAGGAATTTGCCTCCTAACCCACAGGTCAGCTGGGAAACTGGGAGAGACAAGTCCCAGCTAAAAGAGCCTACCAGCTGGCAAAGGTCTGGGAGGGACAGCTAACATTCAGTCCCAAGGACGTGCTGCTTTGGCAGGAAAGGCACATTGACGTGCCTGTGGGCAAACCAAAGTGTCAGGTGCCTCTGGTGCAAAAACAATGTATGCACTCACTATACATACTATACAGAGATATTCCCCACATTACACTTGCACTGGGCATGCAACTGCTTCTTGGCTAAAAAGCTAATTATCAACAAGCTCCTGCTCTTTCATTTTGGGAAGCGTGATTGTATATACACACACACTTCTTCAGTAGGATTGAAAAGATCCTTGATTTCATCAGCAGCAGGTGCAGCCCCTCAGAGGAAAACAGCCCAAGTCACCCCGTACTCAAATCAGAACGTGCAGTAAAACACCTTTTTGCACAAATGTAAATGAAATTTGTCAGATAATGCTGAAATAAGCACGGTGAAGCTGCAATCTTATAGAAGGTGCTTCCTGTAGGTGTCAGTGGGAAGATAAATACCCTGTATGTTTCCTTCTATATTTATGTAAAATATTTTGTAAAGGAAGGTTGCCAGCAGCATTTCTATCTTCTGTTCTGCTCCAATAGCTGAAGCTCAAGTTTATTGGAGTTGATGAAATTGCAAGTTTCTCAGTGCTGAACATCTCTCATCTTTTCCACATCAGGCTATAATTTATAAGAGGAAGGTGCAGGATGCTAATGATTTATTTATTCAGTATAAAAGCTAATTAAATCTTTTGAATAATGATATGAAAACAAATGAACCATCTTAATTAATGCATATAAACAGTAATGTGATTTGGTTGTTTGGTTTCTAGGCATGCTATTGGCATTTAAGTAACATTTGCATGTTTCTAAGAAGTTGCTTGAGTAGGTATGTATCTCTGTACAACTTGGTGAGTTCTATCTAATTTTGCTGCGTAGATTAATGCGTTTTAACTTAATGAGTAGCTGGTTCTCCTTCATATCTATCTGCTGTTCAAACAATTCCAACCGCGAAGCTGAGATCAGAGAGCATTTTAATCTCCTTCCTTCCTTACTGACCCTAACCCTGAAAGGCTGCAACGGATTTCAAAAGTACTAAAGACTACTGAAACTTCTTGTGCCTTTTTCAGTGGAAATAGGGAAATCAAAAGGCAGACAAACAGCTGAGCTCTGGAAGGCAGCATATCACCAGCTGTGTAGGAATGTAAGAAGACACTATGCTACACCGATGGTAACATTACTCAGTATTACAAAAAAAAAATTGCAAGCAATTTTACAATTAACAAGCTATTTTATGGCACTTAAGACAGGACCAGTCAGTTCTAGGAGATAAAACCACATGTAATTCCTACAGGCCTGCCGTTTTCCTTCTCTGGAAAAACTTCGGCAAAATGCAAAGTGTAAATTCTTTCCATTCTTGCCTACTGCAAGAGGCTGTTAGTCATTACAGAGTGGGCTCTTAAATTATTCAGAATTTCTATATGTTTTTTGTTGGTTTTATGTGCTTATAGAAGAATGTATCAGATTGGAGAACATGCAGTACTTTTTCATGTTATTTTGAGGATGAAATTCAAATAAGGAATATTTACTTTAAATTCTGCATATTCTAAATGCTAAAGCTGAGCTTACAGAGTAACAGCTAAACCTAATTTAGATGTGTCAATAGCAATGTTATAGCTTTATCCTCCTCATCTTGAATTAATTAATACTAATGCAAAAGACTGAACTATGAGCCTAGAAAAACTAGAAGTCTCAGAGCTAAGCCTCATAACAATATTATGTTACAGGTGGGAAATGAAGTATCTGGATTAATCCTTTTGTCTCATCTTAAAAAGCAACTCCTTCCAAAGAAATCAATAAAATACTCCTCTTGCAAGACTTCCCACATGTGACTTCAGTCAATTTGTCCTTCTCAGTGTACGTGATAACTTCTTTGAAGTGCACCACAGTAAGTCAGTGAATTGACAGCCTTACAAAGAGTAAACCCAGAAGAATTGCTAACATTAGTTCTGAATACTATGGCTGTTGCCTTTTTTTCTCCTGACAAACATACTAATAGAAGTCTTGAAATCATGTGTATCTAAGTAATAATTAAAATAAAAAATCCCACAAACCAAACCTGCATCTTTTGTGCTTAATTTCAGAACCAGGAATAATGTTTAGGTATTTACCAAGAGCCTAAGGATGTTCTAACAAAAGGAGAAAGGTCAGAGTTTGGCTTACTTCCAGCCCAAACGGGACCAGGTAAACAAACCTACGTAGAAACTTGCATTTACCTGCCACCTCACATAATTTCTTTTCCCCAGGCACAAGCAGAGAGACAGCTGACAAGTTTTCAAAAGTAGAAGCACCTGGAAGACATGATTTTATGATGGGCTCAAACAAGACCAGATGGCTTTGGACAGTTGGGGAAATAGTGTGATAGATCTGTGAAACAGTCACCCAGTGGTCAAAAAAAAGGCTGTAAGACACAAGGAAAGTATGTGTAGATTTCACAGCCACAAAGACTTCACCTGGCACACTCAGACTTTACAGATAGCTTTAAATAATGTGAAGTATTACTTCAAGTATCTCTCACCAGAACGTTTTAAACATTCTAAACCACATTTTTCAGTGAAAGCTATTATCAGCACAACATAAACAACTGCTTACAAAGTCAAAGCATAACAAACAAATGTTGTACCCATTTAATTCAAGTTTGCGTTTTATGTTTATTTGCACAACACAAATCATTAAACAAACAACCTATTTCAGTTTCCACTGCAGACTTTTAGGTACTATTTTCAGTTGCTTTGGCTTGTCTATTACTGGCACCGTCCATATACCAGCCTTACTCTCTGGTGTTTGTCCTTCACACACCACCATGGACTACACCTTTGTGGCATAGATGTAGCTATCATAACCAATCAGAACAAGTAGCCTATTTTGTGCAGAATATTTAATACAAAATGGAAGCTTGAGGTCTTTTTACAACCTTGCTGGCATGTGAAATGGTGTGTGCTTCCAAAAATAACCCAAACAAACCATTAAAGTCACCATCTTCTGAACAAACAGTGAAACACCGAGTCCTGTACACAGGTATCACCACCAGGTACTGACTATAAGAACACTTTTGCCTAGAAAACACCAAATAAATACAAGCGATATATGCAACATAAGCTGTTGTCAGCTACTTCCTCTAAATCACATCTATGAAAATACAAATGGGCACATTGTGAATTTTTAAAGAGTAAAGTGCTTTCAATACCAAACAAGTGAATGAATCTAGTCGCGTACCAGAGGCAAATATATATCCATTTCGGACAAAACAGTCTCCATGCAATTAGTCAGCAGCAATCCCCTACATTCATTTATAACAATAAAGTAGTGTATATTACTTCAGTCACAAAGGGTTTCAAGACAGGATACAGTGTGTATACTTAGAAAACTTGACCAGTGCTCCACACAAGCATACACTTTAAGCATTGCTACAGAAAGGTGGTTTTGTTGGTTTTGATCTTTAAGAAGCCAAACCTTTGGTAATGTAAATGCAGTGTACACTGAAGATACCACTGAACGAATGTGAGAACTCATTATACAGCTGACAGGAATGGGAAGAAGAAAAAATCAAAAGCGAATTTAATGGCCTTATGCACTGTGCTCCTCCAATCATGCTCTATTTTCACATGCCTCCCTGCAGGTAAGAGTTTAGACATGCAATTCAAGCAAGTGATTGCTTTCAGTTCAAAGACAGGCCATTTACTGCCAAGCCGACCCTCCAGAATCGTGCTGAATTCAATTATACTCCCTTGCCTCAAGTTCAACAGCACTTTTTTAAACTCATTGCTTGCCTTCAGCACGATATCTTTGGTTATATCATCCTCCTCTATAGGCTTGGTTCCGTTTTTGCTACTGAAAGGCATGCCCACAGTTATTTCAAATTTGTACCTATCAAACATCTTCATGTGGCAGTTGTGCTTTGTCAAATACTTGAGACGACACAGCTCTTCTTCCTCCAGTGTAATGTTTTTGGGGTCACAAAGAGGGTAGGCTTCACCATACAAGCATCTCATCCAATCGCCAATAAAAAGCGGAAGCATGTTTATTGCAGATTCTGCACTGTTGTCGATTTCTGTCACACGCACGTATTTGAACCGCCCAGTCCACGTCACCCTGTGTCCTTCCAGGTGACTACACAAAATTTGCGTACGTGCCATGTTTGTCTCCTTCCACGACCGGGGCCCGCAGAGGAAAGCGTACTGATTCCATGTCAAGGTAGAGTTGTAAACTTTCATTCCCTCTGATCGATACACATAGAACCAACAGAACAGCACGACAGCTGTAATCCACACCAGAATGAGCTTCACAATCGAGCTTCGCGTGAGGGATTTAACCACTTCAACTACAGAGAAGTTAACCTTTGCCCACCATCGGAAGCGCCAAGGAACAGCACATAAAACCAGAGTCACTACAATTTTCATGAGCTCTAGAGACACAAACCACTTAATGAAATGAATAAGACACATCAACGCAATACCCACACCCAGCACTGGGAGTGCAAAGAGAAACAAAAAATAACCGATCGATGCACGAACTAGCCCAATGCCAGAGGACTCCCGCAGGATTACCACAGAGAGCTCACACCACATAAAGCAGACCAGATACGGGACCAGGTAGCAGTAGGTGCCTTTAAAATTCCGTAGCTGCGCCATTCTAAAGAAAAGATAGAACAAGTACAAAAACAGAAGGCATGGGATGCTTACATTTATCACAAAGAAGTGGCCCACAGGAACAGTAAAGAAGGTTTTACCCAGAAATTTCAAGTAGCCAAAGTTCCCAGGTAATACCTGCAGGAGGGATAAGCAACCTGCTGCTATCTCAGTTACTAATGCTCTTCGTGTGTAAGGTTCTGCACTCGTGCTTAAACTCATGTAACTTGTCACCGTGAAGAAAACTGAGATGGTAGCTAACTCTGAGCATGGTATACAGTCTTTGCTTGCTATAGGGAAGCTAAAAATGACAAAGAATACTGAAAGTAAAAAATAAATATATGGCTCTAAGTGATTCCATCCAAAGTTCACCTCAGCTTGCTCAACGTCTAGGTTTGGTTCAAAACGAAGCAGTAAGTCAGTCAAAGCACGGAAGTTTTCCCAAGCCTTACTGTCCTGAAAAACTTTCAGTGTGCAAATCACCATAGAAATGAAGGACAAATAGAATATGACTAATGGAATAATGAAGGCAAAAAAATCAATTGTCAGATTACTGATGATGAAGAAAAAAATGAGAGCATTAATATGGTGTGTTGGAACAATGGTAGACAGCCAATGCATTCCCGCCTTTGATGCAAGATCTATAAGATATTCTTTAATTTCCATAATGGCATGAAGCGGGTATTTTACAACCTGGAAAGAGAGAAAGAAGCATTTTATGAGCAGTTTTGTATCTTTACATCACAGAAATTCTTAGCGGAAGCAGTGGCAGTCAGTTGTCTAACCTCAGCCGACGTAAGAAAATTTGTATTTCATACGCATGTTGCCAATAAAATGAGATTACTTTGTCTGAGATGATTAGCTCTATTTTGATTAATTCAGTCAGATGAAGCTCAGAGGCGATTTTGATTTCAGGAGAGATGTATTTCATTACCTTTGACACATATAATTAAATGGCTTCCTAGTCAAATATTCTGCTCTGCCAGCTTCACACTGAAGATAAACTACACGGCTGCACTCCTCTACCATCTTATGTCATTACTTGAGCTGTGAATACTGTAGTTTAAAAGCATTTAATTTTTCCACTGTTCTGCAAAGGATTATGCTATACATTCTGATATACAGGAAGGAGTGCATATGATTCATATGCACTTAAAGAAAGTCTTTACAGCCGTGGTTTACCTTTAAAACAATTCTTCTCAAGCATCTAGCGATGCAGCTGTCAAAATCTGGTTTGGAAGCAGCAGAAATATCTTTCACTGTAATTACTACACATTGCGGGATTCTTTTTACCTCCACAACAGTAAAGGCACAGGATCTTAACACTTTACCTGTCTGAAGTGGCATTTCCCAGCACAGTCACCCAACAGAAAAACTGCTGGATTGAATCCTTTCCCTTTGACCAACCACACACTTCATGCAGGATCAATAAAAAGGCACATGTTTTTTCAAATACATGTTCAAATATTGTATCTGCACGTTAGATGCTGCAAATAATCCTATTCTGCCATAAAAAGATAGGTTTTATGTTTGTCCAGAACTTAGGCTTTTATATTAATTAGTTCAAGAGAAAGGCCAAGAATGCTTCAGCAAAGATCTATGCCTTGTGATGAAATGGGGCAACACGCACAATGACTTGGGCATAAGCTTATTTATTAGCAAATCTGTCCCTGTTCTTTTTAAATGCACCTCTTCCAGAATACTAGTTACTCAGAGATACCTCTCACCAGCCCATCCTTTTATTTTTCACCTCTACCATATGATAATGGACAACAGTTATGACAACAGATAACAACAGTTACAAGAACTCTTACATCAGCAGTGGAAACCCCCTACCTTGCTTGAATTTTATATCACTATTAGATGCACCTTATTTTCCTTTCTCCTTTCACTGTCTAAAGAAGTACTGGTACAGAAAACCACTAACAGCAAGTTCCACCATTCTTGACTTCCTTCATAAAAGAAATTTTTCACACCTCAAGACTATGGATAACTTTGCCTACCTGCTTGCTCCTGTTTAAATAAGAAAAAGATATGAAGCATGAAATAACATCTATAATAAAAATACAACAATTATGATAGGGATATTTAAATCCCTACTAAGATGCAATGAAGGTAGATTGCCCTCTTCCAGGGAAAACCATTATCCCTTTCTCTTAAAGATATGACTCATATAGATCAAACTGTAACCATATACATAAAGTCAAATCCGAAGAGAAATTATAGCTACAATTCTTGTACTTATCCATACAGGCTAAAAATCAGCTTTGAGCATCAAGTGCAAGTCACCTCTTGTCTGAAACGAGTAAATTAAGAGCCTGTCAACAGGACCTGTTCAGTATTGTCGTGTTACCTTCAGTCGCAGGGGTAACTCTTCAGGACTCTTCCCTGCCAGTTCATCATCTTCCTCTTCCTGCATAATCAGGTTAGATGGAATGATTCCCTTCGCATACTTCTTGGTAATTTCAACAAAGTCATCCAAAGCAATAAACTTTTTAGCTGCAAGATAAAATGAAGATTTTGTGCAAATAGTATCAGCACAACACTGTACTGATTATGAGTTTGAATAAAGAAGTTGTGCATGTCCCCTCCCTGGAAGTCTTCAAGGCCAGGCTGGACGGGGCTTTGAGCAACCTGGTCTACTGAGACGTGTTCCTGCCCATAAGAGGGTGGGAACTAGATGATCTTGAAGGTCCCTTCCAACCCAAAGCATTCTATGATTCTATGATTAATTTTCTTTCCTGATACTAAAGCTGATTTACTCTGGGCTTCAAAAACTGAATTACTGATAATACAGGCTTACCTTGCGACTTGTCCTGAGATCTGTGCTCTAAACAACACGCTGCTCGTGCCAGCAATATGTGACTACTCTAAATCTTGTCAGAGCAGGTAAGTTTACTATAATGGTAAGTAGAAGAACAGAGCTAGTGAATGTAGCTTATCTGCAAGTATTCCAAGGACAAAAAAGACTAGTGGATTAGGTCACACCGTTCTAAGTTACAAGCTTTGGTAACTGCTTGAAAGAAATCTTTCATTAGCAGCCACACTGAAAAGCAAGAGTTGTACAGGAACAGTAATGAATTATCTGTACATTATTAACTGAAAAACTGACTTATTTGGCATTTAACAGCCATTTTTCTGAGTTCAGGAGTTACAGACATATAATTATGGGAAATGTCCAATTATTCACACCTACAACACTAAATACAGTTTACTTCCAATATTAATTGAATATGCTACATGGCTATACAAAAGGCTTACCACAAACCATATCAACTGTGACATAAAACAGATAGCCAGCACCAAAGTATACTTGTACAGAGAGACAAAATTTATCACTCTGCCCTGGAAGATCCTTATCCACTCCTCTGAGTAAAAGGAGGCAAGAGGTTACTTCTGAAAACTCCAGGGATGTTGCAAGACAGAAAATAATTTATAAACTACTTCAAACTCTTTTCACAGCCAATTCCTTACATTAGCATGGATTAGCTAGTTTCTATGGTAGACAGGCTTGATGCTGTTTGTAAAGGAAGATAATTAGCCATAACTCTTTTCCATACACTAGAGCAAATGACACTACTGTAGAAATGAAAGACTTATGAATTACAACAATCTGTAACACACCTCCTACACAGTAAGCTTAGCTAGTCAGCTGATACAAAGATATGAAAGCCGGCCTGCTTAATAGTAGTTTTAGATTTTAAAGAGACAGAAAACTGAAATGCTTCACTAAATTTAAAATCAGAGGATCACAGAATGTCAAGGGTTGGAAGGGACCTCAAAAGATCATCTAGTCCAGCCCTCCTGCCAGTGAGCAGATGTGGCTAGAACCTCACAAAAGTTCTTTAATGGCACATTTACAGGACCACGGGGCATCCTGAGAAGAAGGAGTTACCAACTTACTATATATAGATGGCCTATCAAATGTGATGCCACTTATCACACAACAACTGTCCATTGACAATGTCAGCTCTAATCTTCTGTTTATACCTCCCATCAAGGATAGCCCAGATCCGATATCTGCAAACACCTATCTGGCATATAAATTATCTTCCAAGTTTTGGCTATGCATTAAAACTGAAGGAAGAAACTTCTGCTGGCAAGATAAATGCAGAAACTCAGTGGATCTGAGAAGTAAATCCTGGAGAGTAACAGCTGTCTTACCCACGAAAAGATAAAAGTTCTCTAGAGAAGAGGTAACAGTTTAACTCTTACTTTAAATGTCTGATGAAAACTTTTTGTTTTAAGTGTTATTAGTATTATCACCCAAGTGTTTCTTAAATTGATACAAAAAGCACATGTTGTAGATTCTATTATTCATAGATTTTTCTTTTCTTCGATTTGGTTATGACAAATTCCCCTGCCTCCCTCATCTGCTGCAGGAAAAGAAAAATATGCACATCAACTTCTGCCTACGCTTACATGTAGGTTCATTTACTTTCCTGTTATTTTATCTGCCATTTAAGCCTCTAAAAAAAATCAAAAAAATGCCAGTTCCCTTTCTGACACTCTTTGAATTACTGAAGAATACAGAAAATTACTTGCTTTGCACTCACGCTCTATCAGCACGTGACAGTTCAGCTAAGGGATGGAAAGAACAGTGGTGTTGTCCCCCAAGTACCAATTCAACACAGCTCCAATGAACCCAGATACACCTGTGTTACCATACAATGACTGGACAATGAAACACAACAGCGATATATAATAATACATATATAGAACTATTTCTCCCATCACCTGCTCCCTTACTCATACACTCAGGCATGCATTTCTCCTCTTTTACTTCTATGAAAGTTAACATACAACTGAAATACTCCATTCTTATTAGGAATGTTGTTTTCAGAAGTCACCTGTATATCGAACGCAATCCTTGAGGGTAAAGGCCAAACTCACCTAATGAAATGTAAATCTCATCTGTCAAGGAGTTTAAACCTGCAAATCCCCAGATCTGGCTCACTAATCCACACATGGGACTTAAGTTACTCATATTCTCAACTATAGATATATTACTAAGTAATATGTTTTACAAAATTAAAAAGTGCTCTTCAAGAACAGACCTATATCGCATGTAACCTACTTCATATGATCAACTGCATTTCAAGAAAGTGACATTTTTCCCACTAATTTAACCTTGTGTTAGATAACGTTCTTGAAAAACTACACATGCTGCACTGTTTATCATTCCTTTTCTCAATTTAATAATTTGATTTTTTTCCTGAAGGCCAAGCAGCATACCAACATTTCTTAGGTACCCAAGGCTAGGGAGAATTTTATTTCAATTTCAACCCTCTACTCTGCCGTAAGTTACAAAACTCACAGATTTGGCATTACAAATGTGACTCTGTGTGTTGAGTGGTTTAATTATCCCCACCACATCAGGTAAGCTGCTCCTAAGTTATGAAAGAAATATCTTGGTGCATCTTTCCTATATCAATTCTTGAACAAATATGAAAAGACAAACATTAATTATAAGGGAATGGCTAACATAAGTAAGGGAAACAGAATGAGGGATCTATCTATATTAAATGGTATTATAACTAATTCCCTTAATCAGAAAGCTTACTACAGTTTAGAACTAAAAAAAAATAAAATAAATCAATGTGATTTTTTTTTTTTATTTTCCTAAATAGACGTGGATGTGCTGAAAGGGCAAGAATTAAAAAAAACCAAATGACATGCAAAGTCTTCTGAGTATACTTATCAATGGCAAGTTGAATGCAACGGTGATGTCTTCTGTGATACCACATGCAGATCAGTTATTTACCTTGCACAGGTAAGGAAATGACACCAGCAGTTCACAACAATTGAAACTTCCGATACATTCTTTCTCTGACAGCACAAAGCTGCTCAGCAAAACAAAACAGAAATCAAAACCACAGGCAAGGACTGAAAGCAGCAGCATGCACTCACATTCACTGCTCACTAATCGCTCCAGCATTCTTCTCTGCTTCTGCACGGACTTTGGGACTGGGCCAGGTTGCTTCTCACCATCTGTTTCAATAAGAGAAGTTTATGTAAAGTCAAAGCAGTCAGAGTGATCAAACAATAACTTCAAGCTGCAATATCTGGAGAACGGTATTTCCTCAAAGTCAGAAAAAAATTAAGCATAAATACAAACAGCTAACAAGTGGCCACACAGCTTTCTATATTCCTATTATTGTATTAGAAAAGGGAACAGCACTGATATAGTTAGCCCATACTGCTGTAATGAGAGAGTGAGCCAGGTGTCTTAAAAACTGTGATTGTAAATTGAAATACCTAGTAAGGTATCATCAGGACAACTGTTTAAGAAAAAAAAAAAAAACACACAACAAAACAACACACAAAAGATACTAGAAAATAAAAGATTTATTTTCCAAGGACAGCAAGCGATACTTTTAATATTTGGTCACTTGAATGAGTGCTTAACTGAATCACAACCTACAGCAAAAGCTTACAGGGTCTTTATAAATTAACTTTATTGGTCTAGAGAGCACAGTTATTAAAAGAGAGTTAGAGCTGTTAACATTTTTTCTTAAGCAGATCATACATACACTGTTATCTCATGCCTGATTGTTTATAAAGCCCTTAGGTATTCAGCCTGTAAGCCTGCATTTTATCAACACCATAAATCAATTAATGAACAAACCTTCATTGTCAACTTGCCCAACATTTTCCAGTAGTTCAGAAACTGCTAATTGCTTCTTCTTTTTGGGGTTTAGTTTCCAATACATGACTAAGGCAGCTTTCCTCACAGCTCTCTCCAAGTCAGTCTCTGATGATAAATTTTTCACTTCTTGCTCATTCTCCGAAGTGATGCCTCAAGAAAAGAAAAATACATTACATACTATTATCCCACACTCATGCAGAAATGATAGATTTGACTACTATTTATTTTTCTCAGTTTAGTCTGAAACTTCTCAAGTTTCATTCACATCTTGGCCACTTCAGTAAATTACAGAAATGCCTTTCTGTGTCCATTGCTCATCAAAATCTAATGACATTGCTTAAGTACTTCAAAGACTGTGCAAGACACACATTATCCATAAGCCTTGATTGAACTTTGGAAGTGCAGCAATTCAGGCAAAAGGTGGCGTGGATATGCCTGGGTGGCAAGTAAAAGGCAGCAAGAATTCTTTAAAAAAAAATGCTGTGGTGTGGGGTTTGGTGTTTTTTTGGTTTTTTTTTTTGTATTTAAGAGTTCAGATAGTTGGCAGATGAGAGGAGACCATTCCAAGTGTGGGAAGCAGCATGAAGGAAGATTTGAATCTTTGAGTGGGAAAAGACAGTGAAAAAAACCAATTAGGAGAGAGGTTGGAGAGGGGCAAAAGAATGAAACAACAGCAGATATGTAGGTGGTGTCTGATTATATGTGACTTCCACAGACAAAGAAAAGAAGCTTCAATGAAAGTAAGGGAGGGGAAGAACAAGTATGAATTCCATTAAGGAATTCAAGCAAACAATTAATATCCATGCTTATATGAGCAGTTATCAGTAATCAACGCTTTTAAAATTACCTATCTGAACATGCTGCCATCTACTCCTTACAAAATTTTGTCATGAGCATTCCCATTGTATTTTAACCCCTTTTTTATAGTGTTGAAACAAATACTGTATTACTTCAGATAAAGTGGGAAGCAGAGAACCCATACCTCTTCTGTCTGCCAGGCACCTACGCAACAGTTTGACAGCTTCTCTTCGACCTTGCTTAGCAGCAAGGATGAACCAGTCAACCGCACTACAATTGTTAAGTTCTTCATCCTCCTCTTCTGCTAATCTTAAGAAGTGTTTCCCCACCTAGAATTAAGTAGGCAACAGAATTCCTTCAATTACTGAAATATACCCTCTGTCTCTGTCTCTCTCCTCCCACCCCCTGGAACTCAGATAGAGTTAATAAAGAGAATAAATTCTCTTTGAACAAAAAGTCAAAACACTAGCTCCTAGCACTAAAGAACATAACTGTAAGTCGATCTTCTGCAGGGAAAGATCAGTTCCAGAACAAGAAGCAAGAAGGACTCTCAACACACTCGGTGAGGGCAATGAATTAGGTGCCACTGGTCTGCAGGCACCTAGCAGGATCAGGTATAGCTCCTGCTGTAAAAAGTTTTCTTGAATTCTAAATTTTCTTGAATTCTTTTCCTCCTATAACCCAGTGCCAGTGACATTCAGAAATTCAGATGATGTTATTTGCAAAGGGCCTTAACATGGAAGAAGGCTTCAGCAGTGAAATCCCTGACTCGTGGCAGTTTAGCCGCTGAAGGTCCAAGCAAACTCACAGTTGGTTAGCGAATAGAATAAAACTAATACTGCTTAAGCATCAAGGAAATTGAATGAAATAGCCTGTAGAAATCATCCTATTCAGGATTATGGAAATTACCAAGCAGTTACCTCTATTACTGTTTTACAGATAAGAAAAAGACACCACCTTTTTATTTCCTTCAATAAAACTGAAATATATGACAACATACTAGTAAATATATTTATGCAATAGCATGAAACACTTCTGCTTGTCATAGCACAAGGCAATGAAAGACTAAATGCTAGAAAGTAGCAAAAACCACTGGACATTTTGTGTGCATGCCCAGAGAATATGGGCAATGCTTTTGCTTGGCTCACCATACTCCCTCTCTCCCTACTGTTACTTTAGTTACGTTCTAGGAGTAATGTATTACCTTCAGAGTACAGCTCCATAAATCCACAGTGTTACCTGCTGAAAAAAACTCCTTTTTGACAGTTTCTCTGAAACTTTGCCTTTGGTATTATCACTAAAGGTGACTAAAGAAATACCTTTGAAAGATTAATAATTCGCATTATTCCCATGTAGATTAAACACTTGTACAACTTAAAAAGGATATTTTTATTCCATTAAAGGTTGGGTCTCCAGCCTTTCAACTGCTTTCATACACCTAAATGAGTGCTCCAACGTCTTCTACAGAGATAGTTACTGGCTAGACATCACAATGATTATACCCACAGCATACACAGTGAAGCTACCCAAAACTATACAGAAATAAGAAAAAAAAAAATGGACTAAGTAATCCAAAAGCTAGACCTGCACATTGATTAGAAAGTCATGCCAGAGTTCAACAGGCAGTGCACAGGTACAGGACCACACCAGGAAGAGACTACATGAAATGGCTTAGAAAAAATAATAATAAAAAAAAATTTAAAATTCAGCAATTGCCTGGTAGTTTATGACCCAACTGCTCATGTACCTTCAGCTATTTATTTCAGAAAGGAATTGCTAAAATAAGTTGCATGGTAAATAACAGCCTCTGACAAGAACAGATGTTTCTTGAGTGTGTTTATATTTATAGCAATTGAGATTTTTAGCAAAGCTACTAGAGTAGTAGCACTTAAGGACACAGCTCTTAAGTTCATAAGGATCTCTCAGACATAGAAACTCCTATTGGATCACAAACTAGCAGATTTCCAAATTAGTCACGCTGCACAAGTAAAGCGACAGCATAACCCCTGCTTTTGAAAGAAGTGGTTTTTTGGCTTGCCTGTAGGTTTTCCTTTTTATTGTTTGGCATTTGTTTACTTGTTTTGTTGTCTGGGGTTTGGAGCAGGGGGGAGGCTGGAGAGGGGTTTAGTGGTTTTTTTTGGTGATTTTTTTTTAAGTTCAGCCGTAAGAGTTAGTCATCTACCACCTCAAAAAACAACCACCACCAAACAACCCTACAGAACACATCCCAAAATCTGAGCAACCAGAAAAAAACCCCAAACACACCTCCAAGTCCCATAACAAACATCAAGGCTTTCCACAAAATACTACTGGAAGGTCTACCAACTCTCTCTGAATAAGCCTTGTGCAACAGCCACCTTCACTGTCACAGCAAAGCTCCTCCATGGAACCACCTGAAGACAACAACAAAGCTCTGGCCCACAGCAATCAAAGGAGGAAAAACTGCTGGGAGGAGGTGCAAACCTCAGATTTGTCACTTAGGCTCTCAGGGATTCTCTTTACCACGAGCTAAGAAGTCAGAGCTGGTAACGGATTAACACAGATCTTCATGCTGTCCTTCTCCAAAGGTTGGGCTCACCTGTGGGTTTCGCTAACTGAGGTGGTCATCTCAAGCGTTCCTCCTGCAGAGATCCTCTGGTTAAAGACACAGAGCTGCCTCTTCTCCGTTACAGAATCCCAGCTGTGGGTGTCTCATTTACATAATTACTGTACAGTTACTTCTCAGTAAAGAATCTACACAAAGCTACAGTAATACAGACTGACAGCCACTCTGAGTGCATTTATTTCCATAGTCATCGCAGGGTTATTTTTGAATAAACTCACAGCAATAAGTACAAAACCCAGTGAACCGAGCATTTTTTTTGTGTTTGACTTTGTAATTATTAGCACACAGCACAACAATGCCATTGCAGCTTCTTACTTGCACGCCTACAAAGGCAAGAATTAAAACCAAATTTTTCTAACTGATTCCAAAGGGACATACGTAACAATAGAGAAGAAATATGTTTTTAGGGTTTTAAAAGCTAAAAGTTAATTCCTTCTCCACAAGTGATTGCATAGAAAAGAAACAACTGTATTTGGAGTTCCTTTTCAGGTAGTCAATTCACCCTGAATGCCTATCAAAGCAAAATTGTATGCTGGAAATCTTTATGACATGAATCCTACTATTGTGTGGGAATAGAAAGTGTACACAGTTAAAGAGCTAAAAGGAAGGGAGTGAAGGTGGAATGAATTGGGAAAGATAAAAAAAATATTAATTGCATAGATACAGATGCACGTATCATAGGCTTTGATTACATAAGATACTTCTTACTCAATGGGAAGTTATATCCTGAAAGAATATTTATGCTATTTGCTTACTTTTGTGTGGAGTAACAGAGCCAAAATGTGGATTTTACAGCAGTGTTTGCCTCAAGGCTAAAGCTTCATCCTCCTCAAGACCACAGCTGTTTCAAAAGGTGAGGAATTTGTTACCATCTGGTGTTACAACTGCAAGGACAGCCTGCCCTTCAAACTCATTCAGATAGAGTAGGTAACCAGCCTGGCGTTGCCATATTATTTTTAATAGCTTTAAAAGAATTTCTTTCCCATGCCCACCTTTTATTTTTACTTGTAAAAAGACTGGCAATCCTTAGGAAAAACCTCAAACCACCAACAAGCATGCAAGAGACCATAACCATTCCCTTTTGCCATCAAAGCTGAGGCTGGAGAAGAATGCTCGAGTAAAATGCTAACTAATTTAAATACAAAGTCCTTCTAAATAATTTTAAGCTATTTATACTAGACCAATACAGCAGACAATGGAATGCAGCAGAAAGCCAGTACAATTTTTCTAAAACCGAAGAGACACTGAAAGCACTAACGCATACAGTAACAGAATTGTCATTATTAATTCAATTAGATCTGCCATTACACAACTAAGCATAGCTAATTCTAACAAACAAGGAGGGGCTTCTTTTCTAAAATAGGCTATTTCAACAGAGAAATTGTATAAAAGCAGAACATCAGTCAGCCTCTGCTCCTTTTAAAGCACCTCAGTGGCAGTTCATTCTGCAAGAGTGCAGCCTAAGAGTCCTGGTATCCTGCAAATAGTGCAGTGCTGAACCAACAGCATTTAACAGTCCCGACCTGCACCTCTCCATACCAACTCTTTGGCACATGATTTAGAAAAGAAAAAAATAAAAAAAAGCACAAATGCAGTTCTGTACCTTCTCCATGCTCTCAGACTACCCTCCCCATTTTCATATGTATCTTAAAGGCTTACTCAACAGTTGGACCTCAATCCAATAACACTTCCAAGCAAGCAGCATTTTTCAAGACAGAGGAACCATCTGGTATCACCTTTCTTTGAATAGTTTAAGATCAAAGCAGATACGGTTCAACGAAAGAAGCAGTAACAGTTCTACAGCAGGCAGCGGCTATTTTGGGAACTAAGAGCAAACAAGACAGGACAAAGAGCACATAAAATTACCTCCGTTTGTGCTTTTGGTTCTCCAGCTTTGGCCCGCTCAAGCAGTTCCTCAAATAGCACTTCAGGTTCTTCCTTCATGCCCTCTATAAATTAATTTGGTAAAGAAAAGTGTTTATTAGCAATATTTGAAATTACTTTATAAATCCTTCCTATATGTGGTTGATGAATTAAAGGATCATACCTAAAAAAATCCAACATGAGATTTTTTGCAAGAATAGTGAAAATTAACTCATTACAACATCTACGCTCCATCTCAGTGTTGTACATGAGCATATTTACCATTAATTGTTTGGTACCTGCCACAGGGCAACACATACATCACTTCCACAGAATTTCTCAATAGAATATTCATTACAATAAATACAAGCACATGTGGGACACGTAGTATATACCAGCTTTTGTACTACTACTGTTCTTATTCTTGATTTTCACCTGGCAGTCTCTTTAATAATGGAGCCTTTTCAAGAATTTTGAAAGATTAACCAGCTTTTAAAACATTCCCGGGACATTTGAGAGCTCAGCTCCTCAGTCCCTGGAGCACACAGAAACTAACAATGACTACACCTTATAAACCTCACTTTTGTGTGTCTAGCTCCATATTGACATGTATTTTTTTTTTTCTCCCTTCCTATATACAGTATGCATACAGACTTAATAGCATCATATTGGTCCACCAGTTAACCATAAAGAAAAAATCTTGATAGCTTTATCTGACATCCAGTGTTTGCAAACAATGTCATGCTGCATGAGACTTGATGAATGAAGAATAAGTTTAGTGGAAAAGCTGAGGAAGGCTAGAACTGCTAGTTTTTATGATATGACTTCTCAGAAATTAGTTTGAAATAGTTTTAAAGAGAAAAACCAACAGAACTTGTATGCTTTACATTGGATAAGCATTAAGGAAGGACAATAGACCACCGATTCAGTACAACAGCCTCATCAGACCACCTGAAAGAGCAGAGAGAAAGGAAGATCCAAACTCAAGAGTAAGTGCCGAAGTTTGACCCGTACGTACCACAGTATCTCACAAGATCACCAAACACACGGTGACTCTTCATAGCTTCAGATTTGTGGGCACAAACAGCAGAAGAACATGTGGTTAGGAAGCAGTTTCCAAACATAGGAAACCGACAGAGAAGCTTTCTGGCATCCACTCACAGGTTTCAGCCTCTCCCTAACCTGGGCAGAAGCTGGTAAGCAGCTCCACTACCTGAGGTGCTATTCAGGATCAGCTCTTTTTCAAAAGGTGGGAGGAAGGAAGAAATAAACCCCACTCCCAATAATCTCTTGAAGAACAGAGCTACTTACATTCTTTAACATTCCTGGTACTGGGACTGTTTCCAAACAAGAACAGGCTACAAGCCAATACTTTCATTAAAATGGATGCATTTTAACAAGAGTAAACCATGAAGTAAGTTTTCTCCTTCACCATTCCACAGTTTTGTCTGCCAAGCTTTACTTGGAAATATACAAATGCCAGATTATAACATGTTGTCTGCCTAAACAAGGCACATAATGAAAACTAATTTTCATTTAGTACTGGGTCTTTTCAGAAAGCTGTAAAAATATTATTGTATAACAGGCAAACAGCGTCGCAGCAAAATTAACTACTTAATCTCCTTGCTCTCAACCAACAGGACTGAACTCTAAACAAGACAGAAGCTGTTCTCCAGATGGCACCGCTCACACCAACAGACATCACTCGAGCTTTCTGCTTATAATAAACAAGAAGTTAGAGGAAAGAGCATACTGTCTGAAAGAAATAATATTCACCCGTCTACCCTACCCAAATGAAAAAGCTGGGTGACACAGTACTCTTTTTCTTCCTTTTTTCGATGCAAAATAAGTTCATGAATGTGAAATTTCTGCAACAAGTCTTGGCTATGGATTTTTTATTTTTTTTTTTTTAATTTTTTCTCTTCAGGGTTTTCTACATACTGAGATGAGACTGCCACAAATATTTCCGTGACACTCTGGATAGGAGTCACCAGTCGGAGGCTAGTGTTCAATAATTAACTGGAATTTACACACGGGTATATGAAAGCAAACTATAGAAAGCAGATGCTAAACCGATATAAGCCCTAGTAAGAAGAGCAGTTCTCTGGCAGCTTACAGTCACCACACCTAGGAGCATGATATGGCTCTGATCCCTTCCATCTCTTGCTCAGATCAATGCACGTTAGACAAGAACACACTTACCGCAATAGGAAGCAGTAGAGCATTCCCATTTTACTTCTTCAGCACCAGAATACAGTTACTTTACTGTCATCGCATTGTGGATTAAAATGAAAATAACGCTCTTTGTGAAGATGGTAAAAAGAAAAATCAAAAACGTGCAGCCTCATGCTCCAACTATCACCTGCACTGAGAAAAGAAAATAAAACATGCTGGTACTGCAGGGCAAACTTGTTGAAATGTTTGCTCTCGCAGAGCTGGCTGCCAGAGGAAAGACATGCTTTCTATCATTATTTTCGACCTACTGTCCTGTATCTCCCGCCTGGTTATTACTTCTGTGTACCCTCACATGTGACCTATTAATATAATTTTAATTAACTATCTTTTATTTATGTCTGTGGGTTGGTCCTGTAGTCACAGGGCAAAGGCAGAAGAGCAGGTTGTGGAGTGTTTTGGAGATCAAATTTAGAATGGCTTTAGCAGCATAGCGTTCCCGTAAGTGGCAATACTGCTTAAAGTACAAACAAGAGGATAAGTAAAAGACAGCGGATGAATGACTTAAATTCTATGACTGCCATATGAGTTTACTTTGTCTTAAGGTATTTAGGTCAGTGTCTCAAGGTAAAAGGTCCAAAACACAGCTGAAGTATGTTTTGGAACAAGGATGGACAACACATACTTTCTTTCAACTGAGCTCAACATTAGAACAAATATAACGTAAGAGTAAATGCACCCACCATAAAAATATAAAAAGTGGTGATCTGTAACTTATCGCCCTTGTTCTTAACTGTGTTTTTAGTCAGAAAATATCTTGATGTGTATTCCTCCCACATAAGAGTACTGCAATGGAAATGCTGTCAGTGGAAGCTTTTATTTTCCAGCTTTGCTAAAAAATCATGTCTATTTAATGTCAAAATTTACTGCCTTGAATATAAAAGTTTCCAGAAGGGAGGAACACTCATCTCGCAGTACTTCATGCATCTTTTATGACAATTAAAATAGACTTCATGAGCTGTTGTGTGTCAGGTGAATTTATATAAGCCAATGAAATCTATCAGTTATTCAAGGTTCACAAGCACTGCAGTCATTCAACTGCAAGCAGGCAAGTGAAAGCATCCAAGTTTTAGATATCATGTATCATACATGTAAGAAACAAATCAAGATAGGACCACAACACAGAAGGGTGGTAAGTACTTCACATTTGGCTGTAATTCTGACCCTGCCAAGACCCTGTGCAAATCTCAGTTCATCACCAGGCTGCTCTGTGGTTCAGTTCCTAATTTACGAACAAGTTAATTCTGCCCTCACACAGAGAGGGGTCACCCACACAGATTATTCAGTGGGTTTTTGAACAATCACATTATTAATAAAATTTAAAGTTTTATTTTTATTATTCTGTGTGATTAAGTCTTAAGCTTAAGATATGAAATGATACTCTATCCTTTAATTTTCTTTGTTCCATTAAAAAAAAAAAAGTGAGGAGACAAGAAAATATTTGCAATCTGCAAAGGATGAAGCAGATGTATTTCTGAGTCTGATGAGTTTATGTTCTCTTTCTACAGAAAGCATTTAAACAGCTGAAGGCCTATGGTAATATCCACATTTGAGATTTAGGCTTTTCATTTAACAGGTTAAAGCCATCAAGCAAATTGTACTTTATTAAAGCAATTATTAAAAAAGACTCAATACAATGAAATTGATATAAGCTAGTATGCATTTCACAGTCTTATATAACATTTACAAGAGTACGCTAAAGCTGAGTATTATTAGCAGATAGGCTTCAATGATGCTATCAAAATATTACTAGAGTCATTTCTGTTTATTAGTAAAAAGTATGTTTTCCAACTCCAGAAAAATACTCAGAATACATTAGTCTAAACACAGATGTTTGTAAAAGGTTGTAGTCAGGCTAATTGAAACTAATGACTACTATTTACTTTTTTAAACTTCATACATTACTTCACATATTGACTATAGGAATTCTAAAGTATTTAAAGGTACATAAGCGATAAGGCTTACATATAAGGAAAGATTTTTTAAGTTATATTCATAAACATGGAGTGGATCATACACACCCAAGCACCACATAAAACCACCACAATTTTTTAAGTGCTTTTTTAAGTGGTAGGAATCATTTAAATTCCTTAAAAAAAAAAAAAATTTTAAAATCTAGAAGTTATTTAATGCAAAAAAAAAAAAGTCAATAGAGTGCATACTGAATAATAAAAATGTTTGTTGATTTACCGTCCTACCAACATAAACATATTAAAGCTCCCAGCAGAGCAGATCTACCCAGAAAAACGAAGTTTTAGTATTTTGCCTGCTTTTATCACCCCTTGGCCAGGGGCACAGACCTCCTTATTCTCAGGTCACTACAGCACCCAAATTCTCCAGATAAAACGAGGAAAAAGACTATGAACAAGGGATACCAAAACCAAAAACTTGTATTTTAAAGGGTCACAATTTCTCATGCCTTTTGAGCCTGAGACCTTATTTGTTCACCCAGGCACTAGGGGCCAGCCACAAGACAGTTACCATTCACAAGAGACCAATTTTTACACAAATACAAGCTGGGCACTTCCAAGTGCTTTGAACAGTGGAAACCTAATGAGAACAGGATAAAATGAGAACTGAAAGCAGTTTCCCAGACAGGAAGCAATAATGAAGACAAAGAATTCATTGCAAATATGCAAGTTTAAAGGAATTACAGGTTTTACATGTGAAAGTTAAAGCTGCATGGAAGCTCTGCCAAACAAAAGTTAACGCATTAAGCAACACCCACACTACGTATGAAGGAAACCTGTTTGGCACACACACTGGATTTGATCATAACTACAAGCATTCATTTGGGCTCAGAAAATAAAGTGACAGGAACATGCAGAAGAAGGAGGGAAAAAAAAACAACCCA